TAGCGCGAGAGTATGTTGTGTCACCCCCGAAGTGCCAGGCTAACACTCGCATAGGTTATTGGCCCACTTCTCAATGACGAGGTCAATGATAGGACATGCCAACCTTCTAAAGGCGGAACCGCAAGCTTCTTACAAGCCCCACAGATACCTTTGTAGGTCTTACCCTTGCAGTACAGTGCTGCCTGGCAATACCACTCCCACAGCTTGTGATTGCCAGTGTTTGTCCTCCCACAACCTCCACTGGCCGATCGAGACTATTCGTGTGCCCGCAATCTGCGTACTATGCGTAGGGGACACCAGCAGGCCATAGGGATGACCATAGCACGATGCTTGAGGTACAAAGTGTTCAGATGCTGCCTGATGGCCGGTCCGTGCTCGGGATGTGATGCACGCATTGCTCCTTCCCTGTACGCATGAGTAGGTGCACTATCTATACACGTTTGAGTCGGGCCTAGTGTTTGGGACATCAATATTGTAAGTAAGAAGCTGCGGCCTCGCTTTTCTCTCGCGCCTCAAGCAAGCACCTTGCGTTGCTCAAGTACTGACATTTGTACCTCTCTTTTCAGGCTCAAGTAGAGCAGTCGGCTCACACAGGTTTCTCAGAGGCTAATCTGGCACAATCCACTAGAGTGGGTTAGATCCCTGTAATAACTGTTTGTTTACTGTTTATAAACTGTTTATAAACATTTACAACCGTTTACTGTGTGTTTACAAAAAAAGTTTACACGTAAACTAAACGGTTGGAGCCTTACCATGAGTGGCTAAGACACTGGAAAGCCCATGAGTGGCTAAGACACTGAAAAGCCCAAAAAATGGCACGGGCAAGAATCGAACCCGCAGCCTGAAAGTAACTACAGCGCGCTATACCACTAAGGCATAAGACCTTGCAAACATTGGATTGGAATTGGCCTATAATACCACTTTTCCACCTTAGTCTTAGCTGCCCAAAGTCATATTAGCTGATTATTAGGTATTAAAGTAATGGAATGTAATTGTACAAAGGTGTATTTTGATGTTATGGCTAAGACACTGGTGTGGCTAAGACATTGAGATATTAAATATCTGCTATTGATTCTGCTTATTGTACATATGTATATTCTAATGGCATGGTTAAAGCACCAGTGTGGCTCAGACACCTGAGTAGATGAATTATACTCAAGTGGAATCAATGGCAAATATTCAATGTCTCAATGTCTTAGCCATGCTGGTGTCTTAGCCACACTGGTGTCTTAGCCACATCAGTGTCTTAGCTGCCCAAAGTCCTGTATTTTAGCCAATTATTACGTATTAAAGCAATGGAATGTAATTGTACAAAGGCATATTCTGATGTTATGGCTAAGACTTTAAGGTGGAAAAGTGGTATTATAGGCCAATTCCAACCCAATGTTTGCAAGGTCTTATGCCTTAGTGGTATAGCGCACTGTGGTTACTTTCAGGCTGCGGGTTCAATTCCTGCCCACACCATTTTTGGGGCTTTTCAGTGTCTTAGCCACTCATGGGCGCTTCTGAGTGGCTAGTCTGGTGTAACTTAATAAGTTCCCGTGTCTAAGCCACCGAACTGAGACTCTTGGCTATACGGTCCATCACAAATCAAAAACGGCACTTTGCGGTAACTAAAGTCACAGCAGGCATCTTATTTATAACTGATGTGACTGCCGTAGCTAAAGCTACATAAGCTAGATAGCCCTTCTGAGCTTCGCACTAACGCATACTACACTCACTCACCATGGTGGCTACTACCCCACATGACTCACATGACTCTATACCTGCTGCTACAGAAATCTCGGAGGTGACGACTCTCACAGGACTTCGAGACAGGAGAGCTATGCACAAGCTCGAAAGGTATCACTACCAGCGTGACATGATCCTCTGCTTCTCCCTGCATGTCCTGCATGTTCTCATACATGCAGCCCTATTTGTGGTCATCTCGCACCACTACGAACATGCTATCACAATACACTTTGATAGCTCCACCACTACATGGGCTCCCCTCTTTGTGGGTACAATTTTGCAGATCTTCGCAACGGTAAGTCTTGCATATCCTTCTGGCATGCCATGTATTTACTCATGCTTTTGTTTAAGGGGTACAATGCCATCCTCGTGCTTTTAACCCAGCGTCGCGCCCTTCGAAATGATCTCAGCGCTCGACAAACCCTCACGGCCGTCCACAATAAGGCTTCAGCATGGCTAGGTCTTGAATCGGCCTTAGAATCACTTTGGCAGCAAACCAAACTAAGCGCCGCAGCCTGGGGCGTATCTTGCATCACTCTCTACTTGCTTTGTGTGTTCGCGCTGCACATCAGCATCCAGGGCTTCTTCCATGTTGTGCTGTACACTGCAACAATGCCGACACTGCAGTTGACAAACCTTACCAACGCCAACTACACTGCAAAGTGAGTCCCATGCATAACATATTAGTAGTGTGGCTGATTTTATCTGGCGCAAATAGCATGGTGCCTGCATATGATGTCCTGCTTGCTTATGGTCAGATACAGAAGGTCGCACTGCTGGACAACATGGTGTATGATATCATCCCTCAAATTCCAAGTGCTACGGGTAACACCATGGTGAATGCATCGGTGTATAATGTGCAATGCATGGTGTTGCTGAACATTCAGCCTGACAACATGATAGAAGATACCTCCATACCAACGGTGTACTACGTCATGGATGGCCCAGACAGTGCTGAAATAGGGCTAAAATTACTCTGTATAGTTGATCCTTTTTCATGCTCTTCAGCTCGTTGACACTTTTTACTCACAGACTATCAGGCTGTGTACACCGGTGTTGTCTCCAACATTCCCATGTGTAATACTCCAAACCAAGATCAGAGAGATTGCTGGGCTCCAATCATTATAGGAACCACTGTCTCCGTTGCTGATTCGTCAGGCGCAGGAGTCCCGACTTTGACCGGTAACCCTGGATCCCCACCACATTCATCGAGGTGCAAACCATCGGAACAGACGCTACAGGCAACAGCCCGGAAGGTGAGTGGGGTAAAAATCTTTCGCATTATACTCTAAATTGATTACTATCTCTTCAGTCTTAATGACTGCGGTCCAAGTGGTCACTTGTGCAGTGGAGATAAACGATAAGCAAATCAATATCTCTGCGACAACGCGGCAGCCGCTTGCTTCACCTCCTGAACCGTCTGAGGCATTCTGGACTACATTCTCGTGGCCGGACAATCTAACACCGACTGACTCACGGCTTATAGCGGTGAGACTACTTAACTCGATTACACTCTTGGTTGTGTGACTAATATAACATGGCATGCAGGCTCAGAATGCTCTGATTCTCTCACCTTCCAGCGGCCATGGGAACGATGCATTCCTGAACTTTGCAAACCCGAGCAACACCATCACAAACGTTACTGCCGCTGGGCTGATTGTTTCTTCGGCACATAACAACAGTTTGCCAATAAACTCTGACTCCTTCGACAATGTCTCCATAAGCTTGACGCAATTGCCGACTGCCTTCAATATGTGGGTTTGTTTCTGTGTGTAGCTTCTTGAAACACTAACTGCTCTGCTAGCTTCGTAGCAGAAGAGCTGGGTATTGTTGCTCATAATCGCACCAACATCACCCTGACGGACCTAAATCACAGCATCGGGAAGGCTCTTGCAGCAGTGCACTGGTATGGTTTGTACCAGAGATTGAACCCCATGTAGGTGGATGCGCATACTGATCCTTGATGTGTAGGTCGGAATTAGGACTACTCAGATCCTCATGCTCTGCATGATATTATGCTGTCACCTCTATCAAATGACTTTTCTATCATTGTCTCGGAACAACCTCAACCTGTCAGCAGGGTCAGCCAAGTGACTATAATGGTAATTGTCCCGAGGTACCGACTGAATGTGAGTGCGCTATGCATGCTACTGCCGCTCATCCCCAGCTGACTTCGTGCAGCATCTTCAGCTCAGTTTAACCCCTGTATGTGCGCTCACTTACCAAGGCTCGCACTCGTACATTAACACCTTGAAAATATCCAGCTCATCGTTGGCACCGTGGCATCA